ACGGAGAGCGCTGATATACGCGCAAATTTAAATCTATGTACACTGCGCTTACTGCGCGAACCCAATTTACATCACTGGTTATATGGTGTAAAATTGGTAAAATTCAAAAATTTTAGCCCAGTAACAGTCAAAATACCCCGGGTACGGTATCTTATAAGTTTTTTTCAGGTATTTTATATTAGACCCGGGTCTTTTAGTCATGCACTAAGGTATATTTCTTTAACGAAGCATAATACTGTAATAATAATAAAAAATAATATAAATCCCATTAACGTGTTTAATGCTAGTTTTGGAGGTTTGGGGATAAATCATGTGAGCCTTATATAAATAGACTGAACTTGACCCCCAAATGAGGAAACTGAAATTAAATCAATTCAAAAGTCTTTGAGTACGTAGAAGTAATTCAAATGGATCCGCTTCAAGAGGTGAGTGAGTTTTCATTTCTATATATTCAATGCTTTCACGTCTTCACGTTTTCACTTAAATATTCATTTTTTCTGTTTTAGACCGTCAAAGAAATTCGTTGGAATGTTCTTGAAAGCTTATCTAAAGTCGCACGTTTTTCTCGTGATACTGCGGGTATGATAAAATTGAATGTTCCTTATTTTTTTACTAAAAGTTTGTAATGTCAATAACAAAAGCGTTATTTTCATAATATAGCAACTATTTTAGAACATCCATACGCGCGTCCTATTCTCCCACACCTTCCACCAGCTATTAATAACCTTGTACAAACAGAGCCAACTCGTTCAGTAGTTGATGAATACGATGCGGGGAGGGTTTATCTGGCCAAATGGGCTACAAGTCTCGAAGAGGCCAGTAGAGCAGAACGCTCAGAAAAATGTGATGATGATAGTTCATCCGAGTATCGGAGAAGACGATGGTCTGATAGTGAACCAAAAAGATGGGAAGAAGAGACGGAGGTGGGAACTTTTGAAATTTTAAATGTATGTAATTCTTGATAGCAGATAAATATAACATTTCTACAAAGCTTTTACATTTTCAGAAAGATATTAACAATTTTTTATAGGACGAGGCGACGTCATCTCCGTTGCATGCTATAAGAACTGATCCTCTTAATGCAGAAAGATGGTTTTCATTCTTTGATACAGAGGGGAGGCTCAAGGTCGAATTAAATGAAGTACGAGAAGCAGTGTTTCGTGGAGTATGTTTTACAAGACGCGCAATAGACTTGTTTTTATATATATATTTAAAATAAGCTAATGATTTATCCATTAGGGTGTCGAAAATGATATTCGTATTGAAGTATGGAAATTTTTTTTGGGAGTGTATCCGTGGGATTCCAGTCGGGTAGAAAGGGAGAATTTGTTAGATGCGAAGGCGTACGTACATATTGTCTGCACGTTCATTGATGTAGTCATTATTGAAACTTATTTTTAACAACTTTAGACAGGAATATTGGAAATTGAAACGGGAATGGTGGGATTCACCCGAAGTTCTAAACAGCGATGATTTTAAAGAACAGAAGTTGCGAATAGGTTTTTAATGTTTATTCATCTTGAGTTATAACTTTTTTCTATGTCCTGAATGCATATTAACATCTGTAGAAAAGGATGTCATCCGAACTGATCGTACCATGGAGTTCTTTGCTGTAGAAGATATGCCACACCCTGATCCGTTAATTTCTGCATCCTCAAAAACAACAAACAAAAAACTTGAGGCAATGAAGGATATTTTAATGACATACCATTTTTATAATAAGGACCTTGGTTAGTCTATCGTTTTTTCTTAGCGAGTTGACTTAAAGTAAAACATAGGAATATGCAATTGGTATACCGAGCACGATAACAAGGTTCTGATTATTTGTCGTATTATTATATTTGCAGGATACGTACAAGGAATGAGTGATTTATTGGCTCCTGTATTTATCGTCATGGAAGAGGAAGTCACTGCATTTTGGGCGTTCGTAGGTTATATGGAGCGCATGGTAAATTATAATCAATTATAACTTTAGTTGAAACTCGCGCAAGGCCTAATGTTTTTTTTTTGTACCAGAAATCTAATTTTTTCAGAGATCAAAGTGGAATGAGACATCAACTGCTTACTCTTGAACATTTAATTAAATTCATGGATCCTCCTTTATATAAACATCTTAGTGAGTCTTTCTGTACCTTTAAAATATTATTATTATTATTATTATTATTATTATTATTATTATTATATTATCACCGTCTTTTTCAATATCATCCCCGTTTTTTATTTTTATTTTTTTATTTTGCTATTTCTCATAGAAAACACTGAATCATTAAATCTATTTTTCTGTTTTCGGTGGATTTTGATATGGTTCAAGCGTGAGTTCGCCTGGGAGAAAGTACTAAATATATGGGAAGTCCTATGGTCAGACTATCTATGCACAAATTTTCATTTATTCGTTGCTTTGGCTATTTTGGATAAGCATCGGATGGTGATCATCGAATATTTAAAACAATTTGACGAAATTTTAAAGGTATGTTATCCTGAACCACTAAAATTTTAAAAATTTTGAAATCCGAAGTATGGAATTTTCATTTTTTTTTTTTTTTAGTACGTAAATGATTTGTCAATGACAATACCCGTGGATGAAACGTTATTACGAGCCGAAACGCTTTTTCATCAATTTCAACGAAGGGTTGAAGTGATTGACCGAAAACGATTAAGTATGCAACAAGATAATCAAAATTTGGGCGGCGGATCTTTACGAAGGAGGGTTGGTGAGTCTGTGGCACAAAACAGTTCTGCTGGCGAAGGATCCAGTTCAGATGCTGCTGATGCGGTCGATAGATTGCCAATCATAAGCGAATTATTAAGGGATCTACTTGCTAAATAAAAGTTTCTTTAATTAATGCTAGGGACAATTTTAAACATTCGTTTTTATGTTGTTTTAATTTCTTGCAGAAGTAATAAAAAGCATATTAATTTGTCTGGTTTGTTTTCATTTATACAGCTAGCATCATTTTAAAATCTTTTTTGATATTTCCATAAGAACAAGGATTTTTTCGTAGGCAATTATAAAAAGGTAATTTCTGTTTAAACACTAGTATATAAAACATGGGTATATTCAGTGTTGGAAATTCATAAGACAACGATAATTTTTTGAGCATACACTGTTTTTTATTATGTTCAAATTAAGAAAAAATAATGATTACAAATAAAATTTTATTAATTAGATAAAAATTATTTATATTTACAAATGAGTGTTACCAAGTAATTAAAGATATCTTGATAACTATTGCATTAAATTTGATGAAAATTTTTTTATTTAAATTTTACAGATCTATAATATTCAAACAAAATAAAAAAATTATCAAATTTGATGCAATGTTTATTGATATTTTTTTTTTTAGCAGCGCTTCAATGTAAATAAAAATAAAAAATCTTATATTTTTGTGAATATTGTAAATATATAATTTTAACATCAGATATATTGATATTTTAAAATTCTAATACGTAATAAACCAGTTTTTAAAGGTTTAATAAAAAGTATTTTTTATAAAATTTTAATATTAATTATTTTTTTTTTTTTAAGCAATCACAACAGTACTTTATTGAATGATTTGTATTTGCAATTACAGAATATTATTTAATATATAAGTTTGTTATTATTTAATCACTTTAATGATATTTAAATATAGTTTGTTATATTAATTTAAGTAGAACTAAAATTACAACTTGTTTGATCTTATTTTACAATAAGGCATTGTTAACTAAAAACATATTTTTACAGATAAAAAAATAAATAAATAAAGTTTTAAAATTGAAAATAAAAAAACCAAAAATAGTAAATAAGATAAAACTAAATAAAATAAAAATGAAACTAATTTATAAAAGAAATAAATAAAAAAAATAAATAAAATTTTATTTTTTATAATTATTTATTTATTAAAAACATTTTTATATTTACTTTGAATTGTAGTTATTTTTTAATAACTAAGTACTTTTAACTAAAATAAAAATAGTATTTATTTGTAAGATGTAGTTCAAGTTAGATACTTTTTATATAAAAAAACTTTTAAATAGTTAAAATTTTGTTTTTTAAAATAAAAATCTTGCATTTAAAAAATCTAATTTTTTATAAACTTTTATAAAAAAATATATATTATATACATAACTTTAGAATATAGATATATTTTAATAAATTTTAAATAGTTTTAGTTTAAATCTTTTTTAAATCTATTTTATATAATTGGTCAGTTTATATATATTGTATTTTTTATTTGCTATATTTAAACAAGTATGAAATTAAAAATAAAACTACTATATAAAGTTAATTTTTTAATAAAAATAAACCAAATTTTTATTTTTTATAAAAAAAAAATAAAAACTAAAAACATGTATTATATATTTTTTTTTACTTTTAATATTCTTACTTAAAGAATAATTTGATTCTTATTTGTTTTTAAAATATTCTTTTAGTTTGAATATCAAATATACAAAACAATCTATTAAACAAAAAGTTTAATTTAAAATAAAAATTTATTAAGTTTTATTTACTTCTTAATATTTTATATATTTGAGTTTTGTTAACAACAAGTTTACTTATTATAAAACTAAAAATATTATTTATTTAAAATCAAAATTTTTAATCTATTTTTAGTTTGGACTATCTGAATTGAAAGTCTGAAGTCAAAACAAAAATATACTAAAAGTACTAAGAATATGCTATAAAATCAGTGTCAGGATCTGGGTAAACTTTGTAAGAGTAGTTTTTATTAGTATTTTAAAAGTAAATAGATAGTTAACAATAAGAGGCTTTCTGCACTTTACTGACAGGTGACATATTCTGAAATGTATAATAGTCTGAGAACTAGTACAAAAAGAATAAATACTATACTGTTCAGATGATATACTGGTTAGATATATATGGAAGATTAGTTAAAGTTATATTATAATAAGATAAATGATCAAAGAGTTTAAATAAATAATTTTCTAGTAGGTTATAAGTATAGCATTTAATGTAGAACCTTAGGATAGACTATTTAAATAGGCAATCAAAAGTTACATATATGACTAGTTATACTTCCATCTCTGTAAAAATATTTGTAATAACTAACTCAATAAAAGTCAATAAAGTATTACTACAAAATATAGTTTTTAACAAAAAAAAATTAAAAAAAAACTACTTTTAATATAAATTTGGTTTAAATAATTATTAAAAAATTATATTATATTAATAATTTAAGTTTTTTAATTTTATATAAATTTATTAATACACAACTCTCTTCAATGATTCTCTACACTAATTTTTTCATATATGCCAATTTATAAAAATTATATAGTTAATATATTTATATATAACAAAACTTCATTGTATAGCATTTGGGTTCAAGAGTTTCAAATTGTATATGGGTTATATGAAAAAAAAATTAAAAAAGACAGCTTTTTGTGAGTTTAGCTCTTCAGTAGAAGTCTATGAAGTTATTAAAAAAGTAATTTTGGCTACAATTAAGGAAGTTTTTGTTAAGCTATATCTGAGTAGCAGCAAAAATAAAAGCCTGGTTAAATATACTATTTTGTATAATGTAAACTTTTACATTCATTACAGTTAATGCTCTAAAAACTCATTTCCTACTTTTTTCCAAAAAATTTTTATTAAAAAGTAGACAATCTAGCTTACCCTTTTTGAAATTAGCATTGTTGATCTTTTCAAATTAGGATTGTTTATCAGTTCTATTCAGAAAGAGCCTATGTTGCAGATAAAGTACAAATATACATGTCTTAGAAAAACATAACAATAAAACAAAATTGAAAATTTTTAGCAAAAAATAAAATGATTGGTTGAAAATATGACAAGTGTCGAAATGTAAAATTTGGTAAAAATATAATAAGTTGTATATAAAAATGGATTCAGTAACAAGAAGTTGTGACATCTAACATATGAAAAATTCTCTATCAGTTTAGTTTTGGTTGAATTGTTTCTTTTAAAATATAAGCTTTAGTACTAAATATGTTAATTAGATAGAATTAAAATAGAGATTACTGTATTTAGTAATATATAATTTTTAGTAGACTGACACAATCTTTATAATTAATAACTGTTTGTTTGATTTTTGTTAGCAACCCTCTTTCTTTTCATTTCTTAATATTTGATTTTCATATTTTTCTCTTATACATCTTTTTTTTAGTACATTCCTCTTAACAAAAAAAAATTTTTTTGTTTTTTATCTTCCTATAAATAAATAGTATCAGATTGACGCTATTTAATTGTAAAGTAGCAAACAGATGAGCTTGATTTAAACTTTAGCAGATCTAATATAGCAAGTCACTTTTAAATGCCAATTGGGATAATTGCATGATAATGGCATATGAAGTTAGATATAGTTCTATTTCTATATTGTCTGTACTAAATATTTATAAATAAACTTCTGACTGGTTAACTATTATGGCTACCAAAGATTAAAAAAAAAAATTTATTAATAATAATATAAGCAAATCCTTATCTTAATATCAAAAAAAAATTAATTAATAAAATTTTGTTAAATAATAATATAACAACTTAATATAATTAGTAAGTTAATAATTTTCAAATGCCAAATTTAGTATTCAAATCTTATCTATAATAAAATTTAAAAAATATATTTGTATTATAACAAACTATTTTTTAATAATCAGTTAAATTATAGGTTGTATTATTACTTTTAATACATTATATTTTATAAAATAAATTAAAAAGCTTATTAATAATACATATTAAATCTAATGACTATTATTTTAAACTATACTTTTAGGATTATATATACTATAATATTAAGATTTAAAAATAAATTTATTATATTTTAATTACTATATATTACCAAATAAAAGCAATCAAAATGTTGTAAAAAAAATTAAAATTTTTTCGATCCAAAGTGAAGAAGTTGCTTTTGTTTGAGTATAATTTTATTAGTAAAACATAATAATTATAGTTAAATTTTTAGCTCCAAAATCTGAGAGTTGCTTTTATTTGGAAGTTGCTTTTAATCAGTAATATATAATAAATATTTTTTTTTATTAATTTATTTTTTTTTTTTATTTTTTTTTTTTTTTTATAATGCCAATCGTAATACTTTATTTAATTAATGCCAGATTAATATATTAGAGTTATTACATTCCATTTGTGCTACTATATTACTATATA